CCCCCCCCGATCAGCTGTATGCCCATGATTACTGCCCAGTCTTGATAATCTATCTATCATGTTATGTATCAGCTTTGCTAAAATCACACCTATACATTTTCTAATATGATATATTCAAAACATTCACTTATACAATATAGAACGATTGCCTCATGATACAGAGACTGTTGATTCAATTTCTATAAAAACATTCACAAAGTTACACTTTTAAAATTTAATCTGAGCATCAATGAGGATAATATCTTTATTTTCATTCTGAAAACAGTTGAATTCTGTAAATTTAATTTCTTCTCTCTGCCGCATAAATCCGCAATTAAATTTATTAGACTAGAATATGAATTTTAAATAGAAACACAAGAATTTTTGTCCTTCGCTGGAAAGACTGTGAAGCCCTTTTTTCTTGCTCTATTTTTTAAACAGATTTTTAAATATCCACTCTGAGTCAAACTGAACAATTTCCCATCTGTTCTGACCGAATTTGCATCATTTTTATAATGAAATTTCAGCAAGTTAAAAAAATAATATTTGTAGACACGACACTTTGTAGAGGAATGGTAACGTTGTGAATTGAACTCCTATCTTGCATGAAACTAGTAAAATGGAACTATTCACTTGAAATTATGCCTAATATTACTCTACGGGTGATTTGAATATGAAAAATAAATTGAAGTGATTATTAAGAACATTTTGTTTGTTTGAATGATGTCAAAAGCATAATTTGTAATTTTCTTAATTTCAGTATTTTACTGTAATTAAAACTATGTGTTATTTTTATTATAAACATGCTCAAATCTATCCTGTGAAAATAGAAGAACTTTTTTATTATTTTTAAACTTATTCAGGATTTTTTGTGAGGATATAAAGAGTATCAGAGCATCATTTTCGAAAACCTGAAATCAATCAATTTTTGAAATATCAATAAACGGCCGGTAATTACTTTGCGGTTCTAGACAAACCTTTTAAAAAAAATCATCCCCCCAAATAATCTTTATTTGTTTGTTAATTATTGAATGAGTTTTTATTTTTTTAGTTTCTTTAATCAATTGCTTGTAATTTGCAACTGCATAAAATTTTGCTAGTGCCAAAATGATTTTCCATTTTTGATGAAATAGTTTCACTTCTATGATTAAAACTTGGAAATTCAAGGATAGATTTCTCCTCAGAAAAGTGTTACTTTTGGATTCGAATATGGCAAATTTAAGAAAACAATACGCTAAAATATCTTATTTATTGTTTAATCACGATAATTCAAATGCAAACTCCATTTTCATTTTCTGAAAAGTTTCGTTGTATTTAATGAAACCTTCATCAATGCTTTTTTGAATGGATATAATTCAAAAATTATCTATACTTACAAACTTCGGTATAAATTATATAATAATATTTGACATTTTTAGTTCTTCAAGATTTATACAGAAACGGGCGATTATAGCAATACAATGAAGACGACTTTTCATTAATAATGCTTTGATCCCTAACATGTAATTTTCAAATTACAAGTTTATCAGTAAACAAAGAGTAGCTTTTAATCTTTGTTTACATGTGCATTTGTCTCCATTCTATAGGAATTCAGAATCGACCTCATTCAAACATTTTAAACTCAGTTTATAGAAAAAACAGTTCATATTGGTTGGGTGTAGGGGGAGGGGGAAGGGGTGTCAATTTCTTTTAATGTAAGTTGGGGGGGAGGGGGTGAATTATTTTTCAATTTTTATTTTCCAAATGTCGGATCCTTTGTTGATATTTTTATGTTTTTCGTCAATCTCCTTGAAACTCCAGTATACGTTGGAATAAGACGACATTTAATACATTCTTCTAAAATAATGCAAATTTCGGTTTGAAAGGCCCTCAAAAATTGGCGTGTAGATGTGAAAAGAAATTCTAATTCTTAAAATTTCTAATTCCCTGTTTTTAATAAATTATATCCTCTACACATTGTTCGTTTCTTTAAATGACTGTGTTAACCGCAAAACAATGGAATAATTGTGTTTTTTTTCCTTAAGATATGTCGCTAAGAACTATTTATTACTAAAAATGGACTTCAGTTAAGACGATAACAAAATCCTTCGCGACGTTTGAGTAAAGAAAGTCGGAAGACGAAGATCATATCACTGTTTTCTGATTACTATATATAATTACCTTACTACCGGTATCCCATTTTATTAGATTTAAAGTTTAAACTTTTCAATTTTCTAGATTTCACAATGGGTATTAAAATTTACATTAGCGGTAACAGTGGCAATAAAGAGGTAAGCTATTTTATTTTTTTGATTTTTTATGTTAAAAATTCACAATGGTTTAAGAAAAATTAATAATTATACGAATAAAACAATGTATGCAAGTCAGGAAATATTAATGAATGCAAAAATGTATAAACCAGATATTTTTATATTTCCCTGTATTGATCGCAGCTATAATGATATAATTTTTTCCATAAATTGTAGCATTGTCACATTGTGTTTAAGTCAGTTTCATTTTACCCAAATTTTAAATGTTTGTACGCATTCATCAAAAATTTTGCAAATCTGTTTTTTAATGTATTAAATATTTTATTTGATTGTTAGATCGAGACATCTCAGCAGCGGATAATCATGATTCTAAAAAGTTTAGGAATAGAACACGAGGTGTCAGATATATCTGCTCCAGGTTAGTTTAGGAATAGAACAAGAGGTGTCAGGTATATCTGCTCCAGTTTAGTAGAACACGAGGTCTCAGATATATCTGCTCCAGGTTAGTTTAGGAATAGAACACGAGGTGTCAGATATATCTGCTCCAGGTTAGTTTAGGAATAGAACAAGAGGTGTCAGGTATATCTGCTCCAGTTTAGTTTGGGAATAGAACACGAGGTGTCAGATATATCTGCTCCAGGTTAGTTTAGGAATAGAACACGAGGTGTCAGATATATCTGCTCCAGGTTAGTTTGGGAATAGAAAACGAGGTGTCAGATATATCTACTCCAGGTTAGTTTAGGACAAAACACGAGGTGTCAGATATATTTGCTCCAGGTTAGTTTAGGAATAGAACACGAGGTGTGAGATATATCTGCTCCAGGTTAGTTTAGGAATAGAACACGAGGTGTCAGATATATCTGCTCCAGGTTAGTTTGGAAATAGAACACGAGGTGTCAGATATATCTCCTCCAGGTTATTTTAGGAATAGAATACCAGATGTCAAGGTGTCAGCTATATCTGCTCCAGGTATAGTTTGCTCAATATTTGGGTTCTGCAGAATGTGATGTTCATGCCATTTGGCCGAAATCTTTTGTCATTATTTCAAAACTATAAAATTCTGAACATTTTTTATTTGTATCCGGCTTTTACTTTTTATTATTCATAGTTTGATAAATTATGACACAATTATTTTTAGGCATGGAAAACGAGAGAGATTTTATGAGACAAAATGGAAAGAAAAAGGAAGGACAGAGAAACGTTCTGCCTCCTCAGATTTTTAACGGAGAAAAATATTGTGGGGTACGTATCACGTAGCATAAAAATTTGCATTAAAATTGCAATTTAAGTATTGTCTTAGCGCGCGATTATCAATCTATGTATACCCAACCACTGCAAATATGGGCAGGATCTATTATTTTAAAAATAAAATTTGATCGCGTTTTGGATGTTTATTCAACAATCTTTAAACTGACAGTAGACAGTTGCAAAGGAAAAGGAAAGTGATAGTTATTTGCCAACGATTTTTGGATAATAATAATACTACCAAGGGTTATGATCGTTTAGATGTTGCAAACTATCTTAAAATGATAATGATAGTAATATCTATCTAGGATTTTGATAAATTGGATGTTGCAAACGAAGAAAATTATGATAGTTATCACAAGCTATGATCATGATGATTTTGATGTTGCATACAAATATGATTATAAAAGTTATCACTATCTATGCTCATATTGATTTTGATGTTGCACACAAATATGAATATGATAGTTATCACTATCAATGATCATATTGATTTTGATGTTGCACACAAAAATGATTATGATAGTTATCACTATCTATGATCATATTGATTTTGATGTTGCACACAAATATGATTATGATAGTTATCGCTATCTATGATCATGAGGATTTTGATGTTGCAAACAAATATGATTATGGTAGTTATCACTATCTATGATCATATAGATTTTGATTTTGCACACAAATATGATTATGATAGTTATCACTATCTATGATCATATTGGTTTTGATGTTGCACACAAATATGAATATGATAGTTATCACTATCTATGATCATGATGATTTTGATGTTGCACACAAATATAATTATGATAGTTATCACTATCTATAACTATAATGATTTTGATGTTGCTCACAAAAATGAGTTTGCAAGCTTTTACTATCTATGAAAATATTGATTTTGATGTTGACAACTTCAATTACCATGTAAGACTGAAGTCAAGATTTTGAATAGTCCAATGAACATGAAGGAGAGCATATTGTATAGTGTATAAAGGCCCAATTAAATTTATAAGTTAATTATCAAGCTACTGGAAACACTTTTTTCTTTATAACAACATCGAATAGACATAAGATTGCTTAAATGTCGTCTTTCTATTGAAAATATTCATGGGTCCCACTGTATCTAGGATTATGATGATTTTGATGTTGCAAACGAAGACGATGAACTAGAAGAGTTTCTAGGAATTCCAAGAAAAACACCGAAGGTAAATTTAGCATTTTTCGAAGATTTTTCGAATGATGAAGACGACATTGGAAATTTGATACCTGGAACATTATAAGTATAAATATTTTGACTAAACATACTTTTTCCTGATTACAAATTCATTGAAATGTTTTATGTACAGACATTGCAGGATTGGGGGGTTTTAAATACAAGATGACAAATAATAAAACATATATACATAAACAATAAACATTAAACAACCCTTTCAGCTTCTTGAATGGAACTTAACTGAAAAAATAGCCACATAGAATCTTAAAGGAACTGAGTTTTTGCCACAAAATCGGATTTTCTTATCCTTATATCTTTACAACCCAAAGTCGTAACCCTAGATCTCATATTCGGAGTTTGAAATATTTGAGGTTCACACCATCAGGCGCAGTTAGATAGGGATGAGAAAATTAAAGTTTTTGGTAAAACTCTTAAATTTAAAGGAACAGAAATTTTGGGATGTTTATAGTCTTTTTGTCTTTTAACGAAAAACTCAAATCCGTTAACCTGTTCAAGGAAATATTAAAAAAGCGCTCTTAATTTGTGATTTTTTTAATACAAAAACATTTGAAAAACCGGCAACTGGGATTGTTACTCTAAATCAACAATCTGATAATGCAAAATTAACTTAGTTTGATCCCGTGAAAACTGGAGCTGTGGCTCCAGAAGTTGGAAAACTGGAGCCTGGTAAACTAAAGAATGGAGCGGTAAGAAATGATTTACTAAACTTTTCAACGGAGTATAGGTGTTGTGTGAGATGACCGTTTAAAAGGTGTTAGCTCACTCCGAACCAGCAAGACAATCAAACAATCTGTTATTCATGGCCATATTTAAAAAGATCATTTCCCCACAAAATTTTTTCTCAAAAGAATATTTTCTTTACAAAATATTTCCCCAACACTTTTTTCCTTAAAATGTTTTCTCGAAAAAATGTTTTCTGAATAAATTTTTTCTTTACAAATGTTTTCATGATAAAAATTTTTTTCCACAAAATGTTTTCCTAACTAAATGTTTTTCAAACTAACGTTTCCTTCCCCAAACGTTTCGGGATAGGAAACATTATGATGTGGAGAAACGTTTTTTAGTGGAAAGCTTGAATTTGTTTTTAGGAAAACACACTTAAAAATCTGAATAAGTGTACCTAAAGATGTTGTTTGGACTTTTTCCATTAAATTCATCGACTATTGATTAGAAAATTGACCGAATGTGTCACAAGAATAGGATACGCAGATTACATTGTTGTTATGCAATTAGAAAAATGCAGGATGCAATTTTTCATCTTGCTTTTTTCATTTAATGCTCACAAACACATTTTTGGCCCGGATTAGTGAAAAAAAAAATTTCATGTCAATTTTTCATTATGGATAATCTATTCAAATTTTCTTTCAAAGTAAAATTGAAAAATTTTGTTTTAAAACCAATGCATAATTTCTTTCTCAATAAAGTGTCACAGTTTCTATTTTTTATTTAGATTCAACAATGATTAATTTTTTTCTCTGTTTATTTGTTATTAAACCAAATGGTACCTTTCCAAGAAAAAAAAATACTTAAACTTTATTAGTTGTTTATTCTGAGCATTAAAGGGGGTGTTTAGAATATTTGAACCAAGGGCAGAATGGTCTATTAAAGGGGGTGTTTAGAATATTTGAACCAAGTGCAGGATGGTCTATTAAAGGGGTGCTTAGAATATTTGAACCAAGGGCAGGATGGTCTATTAAAGGGGGTGTTTAGAATATTTGAACCAAGGGCAGAATGGTCTATTAAAGGGGGTGTTTAGAATATTTGAACCAAGGGCAGGATGGTCTATTAAAGGGGGTGTTTAGAATATTTGAACCAAGGGCAAGATGGTCTATTAAAGGGGGTGTTAAGAATATTTGAACAAAGGGCAGGATGGTCTATTAAAGGGGGTGTTTAGAATATTTGAACCAAGGGCAGGATGGTCTATTAAAAGGGGTGTTTAGAATATTTGAACCAAGGGCGGGATGATCCATTAAAGGGGTGTTTAGAATATTTGAACCAAGGACGGGATGATCTTTTAAAGGGGGTGTTTAGAATATTTGAACCAAGGATGGGGTGATCTATTAAAGGGGGTGTTTAGAATAGTTGAACCAAGGATGGGGTGATCTATTAAAGGGGGTGTTTAGAATAGTTGAACCAAGGATGGGGTGATCTATTAAAGGGGGTGTTTAGAATATTTGAACCAAGGATGGGGTGATCTTTTAAAGGGGTGCTTAGAATATTTGAACCAAGGGCAGGATGGTCTATTAAAGGGGGTGTTTAGAATAGTTGAACCAAGGATGGGGTGATCTATTAAAGGGGGTGTTTAGAATATTTGAACCAAGGGTGGAATGATCCATTAAAGGGAATTCTTTGAAATAACTTTTTATTTTGTTAATTATTTATATACTAAAGTATTGAGCAAAGCATAAACAATTTTTTCTACTAAAGCTCAATATAATATTTTGCTAAATTTGTATTTTTACCCCCAAGCTTTCTAATTTTTTTGAAAGCAGAATTATGTGTGGTGTGTGGTTTTGTTTTGTTTGAACATCTATTCTTATTACTTTTAACACTAATTTTATGAGAACATTTTTTATTCCACCCTAAATATTCATAACTTTATAAAAATGTTCACTTTACTTTATTATTTATCTTTTTTTATGATTCTTAATTTTTTTCAAACATGATCAGAGGATCAAATAATCTGCATAAAATAGTTTTTTATTCTACTTCAACTCTTGAAATCGATTGTTTGTTTAAATACAATTGTTAAAACCTTATTTCATTACAATATTTCTTACTTGTTATCTACTACATTTAAAACAAAAAATAATAGCGGGTTAGAAAGGGTATATATATAATCAACTTATAGGCCATGGCCTAGCAACACTGCACAGTCGACCCAGTCTAAAGATTTTATTACATAAATTTGTCATAATATTCTTGAAACATTGCGATGAAAAAAATCCCGAAATATTTTGACACATGTATTGAATAGATAAAACTAACCAACAAAACACACCACACATCTTTTATTAAAATAATCCAAACTTTTTTCTCTGTTTATCAACTGAATGAATACAACAAATCCATTTGATGGACAGAACAAAATTATTTTTCATTGTGTAGAAGCTTACTAAACCAGAGGCAACTGAGCCAACATTCAATACTGAACCCTCAGAACAAGATCATGAAACAAGTAATGAAACTGAATCCAACTCCTGCAAGGATGATCATGAAGATTTTAATGAAGATGAAGAAAACGAAGATGAAGGAAACAAAGAGGAAAATGATGAAGATGAAGAAGAAGTTGATGATGATGATAATACTAAAATTATAGAGGAAGCACATCATCATGAAGTGTACACTAAACATAATTTAACTATTGAAAACGTAGCTCTACCTATCATGACTTCAAAAATTGATAACGGCTTTGATGCCCAAGTTCAAGTCGAAGGCATAGAAAGAAGACGACCAAACACTGAGGAAGATCAAAAACCAGAATTAAATTTAAAACTTGACATTCCTGATGTTCCATTCGAAGAGTTTGTAATCCCCGAAACTCCAAAACGGTATATGGACGATGGAGTAGAAATCCGCGAACTACGCCCGGGGTTCCAAGAGCTAGGAAACTGCAAGAGGTTTTGGAAAGCTCAACAGCTGATTGGAACACGTAAGACTATGTTCCTGGAACTGTCCTTGTGTTGTTCCCTAACCCTCGTGATGGTGTATTTCCACTAGATCTCTACTTCATCCTTATCCTCTGAGCTGTTGACAATTCTTCAAAATGAATTCAGGACGATCATAATTCTGCATGTTGTTTTCATTTTGTTAAAGTTTACTGAACACAACTTACATCAGAATTTAAAGTAAATTAAAAGTATTTTTTGGCGCATTTAAAAAATGTTCTTTTTTATTCTGCTTTTTTCAGCCTGAGTCTGGGGAAGCTGCTCCCCCAACAGAAGCTGCTCCTGTCGACGCTGCTCCCCCAGCCGAAGCTGCTCCTGAATCTTAATCATTTCCACATCCTGAAATCTCAAATGTTGTCCGTTCAAGTCACGTTTTAATTTTTTTTCTTTTTTTTTTACAAAGTAAAATGTTCAATATTAATTTTGCGCAAACGTTTTAGTTTAATTGTCATCAAATCGAACCTTTCATATCTCCGTTATTAAGTAAACAAAAAATTAATTTTTTTATTCTTAATTCCTCCAAAAACTTTTATTTCTACAGTAACATATACTTTAAAAATGTTAAATCTTAAAAATTCAATGTTTAATAAATGTTGAATATTCAATAATTTATAATCAATAAATTATTTAAAATGTATCAGTCAAAAAAATCGGTTTAAGGTAAAAATATTATAATGTTTCAATGTTGGTTGAAAATGATTCTGTCAATTATTTTTCAGAAATGTAGATATTTCATCTAAAATATTTTGGTGATTAAAAATATTTTAATTTCAGAGACATTATCACAATTTGTTACCCACAGAGAATGCAACTTTAGAGACGCCTTGATATTTTTTAACTCTGATCTTAATTGGATCTTAGGTCGTTATAATATGGTCGTTATAATATGGTGTTTTGAAATAGTTAAAAAATAAACTGAAAAATGTAAAGCTACAGGAAACCATCAATGCCAGAAAAAAGGCTGATAATATTTCCTACATTCGTCTTCGCAGTCCCATTCTTTGTGAGTAACCCTGTATTAAGTTTAGGGAAAAATATGAGTTTAACAAATAATTAAAATTACGCAATTGTCTATGTTCTAGTTTTATTTTAATTAAAAAAAAACCGCCCCCGCTTCTTTTGCGAGAAAAAAGTAAGATTGATAAGTTTTTAAAGAAAATTTTACCGTCTTAAAAAATGTTTTCATTTTTATTTTCTTGTTTGCAAACAAAGCTTTCAAAAATACTGCAAATAATTTTCAGGTTTTTAATAGTAAGGTTCATTATTTTTTTTATTTCGAATAATGATTTTTAAAACGTCAGTAAACATAACTTCAAGTAACCCTCCATTGTTAGAGTTGTATATCGGATTCACAACGGTACTCTGAAAACTAGCCAGAGCTGGGAACTTTTGAATGGTGGATATCGGCATTATAATGCTTGATCCACCTTTTTTCTTAATCTCCAGATTAAATAAGGCTTGTTCTCCTCTTGTTATTAATCTCCAGATTAATTAACCGATCGTGATTAAGGAAATCTCATTCTAAAGTTTTCAGCTCTGATCGCATTTCTTGTTTTGGAAAAGATCAAGAAATTATTAGAAATAAAGACTTGTTAAGCTTGATCAGATTAATGATTCAAATCTCAAGGGTATCGTTGTGAATCGGCGTTTCGTCAGGTGAGTCCTGATGAATCATGATCATAAAACAACTGTTTTCCTACCTTGAAATCATCGTTGATACGGGTCTTGTAATCCCCAGTTACTTAAGGATGAGAAAATCAAACTTGAGAACTAAAATCATTTCAAGAACGTCGATCCATTCTCCTCTTAAAGTATCACGGTCTTCAAACTCAAAACTAAAGAAAAATATTGTTTTTAGCTTTGAATCTACAATATCATAAAAGCGATTTGAAAAGAATAAGTAAGACGCCTGCAGAGTCCGGACTCTAATAATGTTATGAGCTAAAATCCGTCTTACTTTGAACTGTAACGAATCCATGAAAAAGCTATACTAATACTAAAATCTTAAATTTGTCCCCAAATATTCACATTTCATCTATAAACATACCTTGATCCGTCTCCGAAGATCTATAGGATAAAAACTGTAAATCCGTCCTTCCGATCAAAACTATTATTCCTTGAATCTGAAAAAATACCAAGTATTCAAATCATGGGTTCTCTCATATATGCTAGCGCTTCAATTTTTAAATAAAGATAGAAAATATGACGATATACTCTATACAAATATTCACACAAAATATCAAATCAGTTGAATAAATCTAAGCAGCTTGCTCCGACGATTCTTGAAATAAAACCGGAAAATGTTAAATGAGATTTTCTGTGCGCATGCGCTCTGATAATCTGATAATGGTTTGCAATGGAAACTGAGTTTCTTTACATGACGCCGATAATACAATCCTTTAAAATGCTATTGGCGAAAAAATAATAATAAATGATAAAAGATATTAATAAAAATAGTTATTTTCAGCCCCATTCGACCCCATACCCCTTCCGCTTTCCGCTCTCTCTCCCCAACCACCCACCCACTTCCTTCTTACCATCCCTGCATTGAAAGACATGCATATATTCGATGTTTTATCCAAGAAATTTCGTGGTTTAGAATATTAAGTTACATTTCATGCACTAATTACTGATCCTACACACTCTACACTCTTTACTTCTACACTCTACACTCTACAATCTACAATCTACACTCTACACTCTACACTCTACACTCTAAACTCTTTACTTCTACACTCTACACTCTACACTCTACACTCAACACTCTACATTCTACATTCTACACTCTACACTCTACACTCTACACTCTACACTCTACACTCTACACTCTACACTCTACACTCTAGGGAATGAGTCCCTAATAATAAGAGTGAAGGACAATGAGTAAAGACGATACCACGCCGGGTTAGAATTTAGATGATTTGATCATGATTTAAAGCTAGACTGAGCCAATTTTTTGAGAGTGAGGGACGAGAGTTGCAGATAATACGATGGGGTTAGATCTTGGTTTAAAATGAGTCCCATGTAATGCAAGTAAGGGGACAGAGGTTTGTAGACGATACGTCGGGGTTAGATAGATCTTGGGTTTAGTCACTAACACCTACTCCACTAGTGAACATACATACACCCTTACAGTACTTACAGTATGCATACACCACAGGGCAGAAATTAAAGGGCTGTTATGTTAGGCACCGTTTTTAAAAAACATCATACTTTTAAGAGGCGTCACAATCCTATTTCAAATAGTATGTTTAATAAATTTGCTTTCATTAAATTCAGCAACATTTTTACTCTGACCAAAGATGTTAATCAAAACGATTTTTCATATCGATTGGTAAAATCGTTTGATAAATCATTTTGAAAAATCAATTTGAAAAATCTTTGATCAGAAAAAGTCAATTTCGATGTAGACCCCCCCCCCAAAAAAAAAAAAAAAAACTACAGAAAACAATTAAAAATAATTAAAAATCTGAAAGCTCTGTCAGTGTATCGAAATTAAATGCATTTTATCAAGAGAAGAAATCTGTATTTTACATCACTTCATAAGTCGTTCAAAAAGTGTCCTATAATATTTTAGGTTTGTTTAGTTAATCACGTCAAACTACAGGAAATTTCACGTTGGATTAACATCTATAATACGTTTAATCAATCATAAACTTTTAGAATGTTCTTGAGGATAACAGCAAAGTATACAATTTATAATTTGCAACCAAATAATTTAGTTTTCTTCTGCTTAGGTGTACTATATAAAATAATAGAATGAGCAACAAGGTCACAAAGCCGTGCCAGTAATTACTTATAAATTTGACCCTTTACTTATGTTTTGTTTGGAGTGAAAAGTATTCTGCAGCTGCAATTCTTATTATCATGCATGCATGGTAGACTGTAGGTGTTTAGTTCATTTAGTATTGTTAATCTTAATAATTATATCAAGTTTACAGTATTTAGTTACATTTCATGCACTAATTACTGACCCTACACACTCTACAATCTACACTCTACACTCTACACTCTTCACTCTACACTCTACACTCATACACTCTACACTCAACACTCTACACTCTACACTATACACTCTTCACTCTACACTCTACACTCTACACTCTACACTCTATACACTACACTCTACACTCTACACTGTACACTCTACACTGTACACTCTACACACTACACTCTACACTTTACACTTTACACTTTACACTCTACACTCTACACTCTACACTCTACACTCTACGTATTTAATATACACTCTTCACTCTACACTCTACACTCTACACTCTACACTCTACACTCTACACTCTACACTCTACACTCTACACTCTACACTCTACACTATACACTATACACTCAACACTGTACACTCTACACTCTACGTATTTAAGTTTGGGGAAAGGGGAAGGGTATCCCCCCCCCCTAAACTACGTTTCAACAACTTGAGCCCTATAGGTTGAAAGGTTTAAATCTCTTGTGTTCTCCCATTGCAATCTAATTAAAGTACAATACCATGTTTACTCCGTATAGGGCTATCATTATATAGACTTCAGAGCAAGAAATTTAAGATAAGTTACATTGAATTAAACTTAATTTTGGGGTTCACATATTTGTTTAGATATTTTCGTAAGAATTATATAAAATGCTAGGATTATACTAAACTAATCTTATGAAAAAATGTATTTTAACTAAAAATTGATATCTACAAAATAGTCTCACCTTATTAAAAAAAACCGGGCTCCGATACGGCGCGGGGGTTTAATACCAATAAATCCTGTTTAAAATTTCGGGCTCACAGTCTGGAGATCTTACAATAAGGATTCTGCTCTTCTTGCAAACAATTCGTATTAAAGCCCTTTATAAACTCATGAATTGAATAGTTCCTAAAATTGAGTTAATCCGGTGCTAGGGGTTTAATAAATCCCTGCTCATGGTATTCAAAAGAGAAGTAATATCTAACTTTAAAAGTAAAAAAGGGAGGCACAGAAAAAAATAAGATTGAAAAAATTGCCGGATTAAATGTTAATAATTCCTTCACATAAAAAGGGACATATATCCTTTAAATGAAAGAGAATTAAAGTGCATTGTCTAACATTTTAAAAGTGAGTATAGAGGGTCTAAAAAAGCCTAAGAATGAAAATATATACTACTCATAACAATCGCTCTAAACACCTTCTAAATTGATGTAACATTAAGCCAACACCCTTCCGAAAACACTTGGTAATTTCTTTTCTTCCGTTTTATGTTTACCACTTCCTGTCCAATTCGGATATCCAGATATTCCACCTCTAATTTATTGTTTTTAAGTTTTTCTATTTGTCTTGGAAAATACGAGTCTTAATC